CAACCCGGCATCACCCCGCCCCTTTCCATCTTGAACATTCGAGAGCTTGCTCGGGCGTCGATGAGAGAAGGTTCGTCTGCGAACCCACGCTTCCGAGGGGAGAAGGACACGTGCCCGGGGAGTCCCTGTATGCTTGTTTTCTTTTCTTTGTCGTTGACCTCTGGGCGCTTGGTCGCGAGAATTTGGCGGCACGCCCGTTTTTAAGCACCCGTTTTCGAGCGCTCGTTATATATATATATATATATATATATATATATATATATATATATATATATATATATATATATATATATATATATATATATATATACAGTAAAAGCTCGTTAATTCGAATTCCACGGGAACGCTGAGCAATTTTGAATTAAACAAAATTCGAAATAATGAAAGTGAGCAAAAATGGGTGGATTTCGGGGTGGGGTCACGAAAAATATTTATTGGCCAAAAAAGTCGGTGATGACCATCTGCCTCTTTTCTCTGAATGCCACAGCTGCGGCTCTCTGTTACAGCGCGCGGACGCGGCGCAGGGAATCCTCTTCACCCTCTTCAAAGCTGAAGGAGAGACGAGCCACATTAAGTGCCTCCATCACCACAGAAGCTGACGGGCGCACAGGCGCTTCGTCATTTTCGTTTTCCTCACCTTCTGGCTCTTCAGCATCAGGCTTCGCACCGGCTACTTGAGCGATAATGTCCTCATCAGTCAGAACACCACACACCGATGCACCGGTGTCAACTTCAACATAATCGGCAAAACGTACGCCCCGAAGAGTGTCGCGCAATGCCACTGGCATGAGCTCCTCAGCCCGATCCACGTCGACGTCACAACTATCCTGCGCATTTCCAGCTGCAAATCTACTGTGGGGGAAACAGTTTGCGATTGTGGTCGCGGTCACCTGTTCCCATGCGCGCACCAACATGTGCATGGCAGTGAGCAGCGTAATGCCGAAGTCCTTTCTGTCGCCCGCGCACAAAATCATTCGTGAACGAACAACGCGCTCGAGGAACAAAGTGACGCTGCCGGGAGCGGCCTAGGACTGCTAGGACTACTCCGCCGACTCCTCAGCGTCCCGTGGGTCCCGCGTTTGTACAAGTGGCGCCAGGCGCTGAGATAGCGGGAGGGCTACGAAAAAAAAATTTCTCCCTGGATTTTGGAGGCCATACTTTGCTCTCCCTTTGCTCGGAGGCCACTTGAAGCTCAAAAAAACTGGTTGTGCCACCTATCGTTCGACCGTAAAAGCACTACTGTTTGACGATGATGACGCTCGGCGGCGCGCGCTTTGAATTATCCGTAGAGGCAGCAATTTCTGTTCGAATTAACGAACCGTTTTACACATGGTCTCCTATGCACTGCGGACCGGACTGCGGCGACCATTTCGAATAATCCAAAATTTCGAATGAATGAGGTGTGAATTAACGAGCTTTCACTCTATATATATATATATATATATATATATATATATATATATATATATATTCATTTATTTATTTATTTCAAGTACCTACATCGCCCATTGGGAATTGTTGTAGGGGGGTTACAGTAGAAAATAGAATACAAAACAGCAAAATTGAAAGCAAATAAATCGTGCATTACAGTATACAGGAGAAATCAACACTTGTAGTACAGCATTAGAACAAAAGTACAAAACACAGGATTATACAACGAAAGCAGTAATTATACATATAAAAAATCAAAAACCAAGAGAAGTAGAAAGCCAACGTTAAATATATGTGTTATTTCAGCAGCTCAAAATGCTGTTTCAATGGCTGTTAGGAAATTAGAATCGGCTAATATTGGTATTTTTAGCGCATTACAGTCACTAATAGAATTTGAAAAGAAAGAGTATTTAAGGACATTCAATCGACAGGTATATTCTCTAATTTTATATAAGTGATCTTTCCGTTCGGACGTATAACTAGGTGTCTTTAAATACCGCTCTTTATTTAGCCCAGTCTTACCGTGATATATATTATAGAGAAATTTAAGTCTTTGAACTTTCCGTCGTCCACAAAGGAGTTCCCATCCCAAGGCCTGAAGAACTCCAGAAGACCTTATTCTAAAATCGTAGTTTCCTGTAACAAACCTAGCAGCCCTTTTTTGCACCCTCTCCAACTTTTCTTTTAGTACATTCGTGAAAGGGTCCCAAGAAACACAAGCATACTGTAAAATTGGGCGCACATTTGTAATATACAGGGTTTCCTTGAGTGTTTGCGGCGTGTCGCTGAAATTTCTTTGAAAAAAATGAATTAGGCGCGAAGCCTTGGCGGTGATTAGATCTACGTGACTGGTCCAATCTAGTGTTGCCGTGGATGTTACGCCGAGATACATAACTTGATCTACCTTTTGTACTGCGCAGGAATTTAAGTAATAAGACCTGGATACAACCTTTTTTTGTTATTAAATTGCACATGAAAACATTTAGTTAGGTTCAAACTCATTTGCCACTGAGCACACCAAGACACAATCTTATCGAGGTCAGACTGAAGTACTATGGTGTCATCAAACACTTGACTGGGCAATACAAAACACAATCATCAGCATAAAGCCTCACTGTTGATTTCAAACCCAGTGAAAAATCATTGATAAAAATCAAAAACAGAAGCGGCCCCAGGACCGACCCCTGTGGCACCCCGGACAGTAGATCAGCTGTTGAT